GAGTAATGGTCACTAGAGTCTGGAAAGGGTGGGAGGGAGAAGGGATAGAAAGAAGTTACACAGGGGGCATCAACATGCAGCGGAGGAGGCATAAGTTTTGGTTTTCTGTAGCATAGTAGAGTAACTATTGGTTAAAATAATCTGCAATATGTGTCAAAATAATTAGAAGGGAGCAAAATTCCCAAGAGATGTAGATGAATAATGTTTGAGGAGATGGAAGTACGTAATACTGAGATTTGTCCATTACATAATGTATGAATATATTGAATTAGGATATAAAGATGTACAAATGTCTGAATGAAAAAAGAAGAAGAAAAAAAATAGTCAAAAATTCATCTGATGGGCTGGGGATGTGGCTCAAGCGGTAGCGTGTGCACCTGGCATGCATGCGACCAGGGTTCGATCCTCAGCACCACATACAAAGATGTTGTGTCCGCCCAAAATTAAAAAATAAATAAATAAATATTTAAAAATTTTAAAAAAATTCATCTGAGGGGCTGGGGTTGTGGTAGAGTACTCGCCTAGTATGCGTGAGGCACTGGGCTCGATCCTCAGTACCACATACAAACAAAGATGTTGTGTCCGCTGAAAAGTAAAAAATAAATATTAAAATTCTCTCAAAAAATTTCATCTGAGGGGGCTGGGGTTGTGGCTTAGTGGTAGAGCACTTGACTAGCATGTGTGAGGCACTGGGTTTGATTCTCAGTACTGCATATAAATAAGTACATACATACATACATACATACCTAAAGACCCATCGACAACTAAAAAATATATATTAACAAAAAAAAAATAGAGGGTTGGGATGTAACTCTGTGGAAGAGCACTTGCATGGCATGTGTGAAGCACTGGGTTCAATTCTCAGCACCACTTACAAATAAATAAAATAAAGGTCCATGAGCAACTAAAAAAAAGAAAAACTCATCTGAGCCATTCCCTGTCCCAAAACTTTCACTGAATCCCCATTGGCCTTAAGCTTTAAGACAAAGCCTTGTGGTTTTTTTGTTTGTTTGTTTGTTTGTTTTTGTTTTTGAGAGATGGTCTTGCTAAGTTGCTTAGGGCCTCACTTAGTTGCTGAGGCTGGCCTGGAACTTATGATGGATCCTCCTGAGGAGCTAGGATTGCAGCCATAGAATGCCTCACCATACCCCACTATGCCTGGAAAAGCCTCAATTCTTTAGTGAAATACTATTGCTTCTCCAAACTCTGGTCCAAAAATTTCTTCCCCCTTTATATCTTGACCCAGCACTCAAAAGATCTCACACACATCACACTTCTGAGCCTCCAGCTGCCATGTGTGGTTGTGCAGTCTGTATATCCCACCATGGCAGTCATACAGGGGAGGGGCAAGAGGGGATCAAATCTAGGCCATGTTCTGTTGAGCAAGTCAGCATGGAACTGCACTGTGGGCTGGACTGGGAGGAAATGGTTCTTTTATGTGATTTGTCTGCCCAGAAGGGTGCCTTTTTTGTATGCATGCACAAAAGTAACCCCTATGTTTGCTTCAAACCATCCTTCTTTGCCTTTAATGACATTCTTACAACTCTAAACTCCTATCCAACTTTGGACTTTTTCATAAACCCTTTCTAAACTGCCACTCCATAGGGTGTGTCTGTCTGTCTGCATGCCTGACTTCCTGTCTCCCACCCCACCCCCCTTGAAATGGTAGGGATCCAATCCAGGGCCTTGCACATAAAAGGCAAGCACCACTCTACTGAGCTACATCCCCAGCCCTTCTCTATGTTAAATTCATACAGTCCACTTGCCACCTGATCAAAGCACTATGGCTTTGTGTTGTTTAGGGTTGGTGTTGATTGCTATTTAACTGGTATTATTTAACTTTATGTATGTTCTATACCCTAGCTTGTTAGCTCATTGAAGACTGGATAAACATAGTTTGGGGTCCCTACAAAGATCCCAGGATAGTGTCACACAACAGGTGATCAGTAAACATCTATGAAACAAATCACATATACAAATATCCCAAGGAAATATCAGTCTCAGGGAAGTTGGCATAGCAGGAAAGAGAAAACACAGCCTCAGGAGTTGGACTTAGCACAAATGCTTCTTTTGTTTTGCTTTGTTTTGTTATCAATACAAAGAAAATATATTTATTTTCAAAGACTCTAAGAAATGATGATATAATGTCAAGACACAAAAAGTTTGAAAAGCTATAGATGATTAACCACTGTTTCATTCAACCTCCCTTTGATTATTTTAGAGAGCATGTCTGTTACTCCCAACTGAATCTTAAGCATGATGTGTCTAAGTAACAGAATTAGGATTCTTTCCCAGTAGTCCTCATTATTGTCTGTCTTTCTTGTCCTCCTCCTTCTTCTTCTCTGGATTAGGAATTATGCTGGTGTATGGCCCTTCTCCAGAAAGAAGTTCTGCCTTAATATGTTTCTTTCTTCTCCTTTTTATTTATTTATTTATTTATTTATTTTTGGTGTGTGTGTGTATGTGGTGCTGGGGATTGAACCCAAGGCTTAGTGCATGTGAGGCAAGCACTCTACCAACTAAGCTATATCCCCAGCCCCTTAATGTGTTTCTTTTTATACTTTTTCCTCTTCTTCCCAGTGCCCCCTCTTCTACTATTACTACTTTTTCTTCTTCCTCTTCAACTTTAACCACTAAGGCTTCTTGTTTAAAAAAAAAATCTCTGAGGTGCTTAAAGAGTCTACTTCTGGGACTGGGTTTGTGGCTCACTGGCAGAGCGCTTACCTAGCATGTGTGAGACACCACATATAAATAAATAAAAGTCCATTGACAACTAAAAAAAAAGGGAGAGAGAGACTACTTCTAATAAAACAACCCAAGTTAAGACCAACAAGCCATCATCTCCAGGACAGATAGGATATAATGCTGACTTCTAGCACTGAAACTCACCCTAACTCAACAGAAAGAGTAACTGTAAAATTATAAACTTCAAAGTTAAAACCTATTACTCCTACTTTAAGACTGGTGGAACTGGTCTGCTGGATATTTGAAACCAAACCTTGGAGACCTAAATCAAGGAAGTAAAAAAGGTCTGAGGAAAAAGCAGCCAATATTTGGCCCTTGCCCTCTAAGGTCAGCCAGAACCCAGAGAATGACAGGACTTCTCTAAGGATCCTGCAACTCTATATGATCCCTGCCCTGTATCTCACTTCACTGCCACCATAGACCTCTGGCCCTACAGATAAAAATCCAAAATAAAATCTCTCATCTATCAGGGCCCCTTAGATATACCTATATAAAGGACCCTGACAGGCATCTCCTAATGCCCCTTTCCAACTTGAAGTAGCCAGAGTGGTAGAGGCCCCTGTCCCTAATGGTAGTTAGGGAACTCCTTCAGAGGGGAGAAATGAATTGATGAGATAGATTATTTTCTACTATGACTATCAGGAATGAGATTCCTATCCACCTAGGAGCCCCAGTTTCTAGCAAGTACTGTCAGGGTTAGGTATTAGCATAATTTCCTAACACTTAATAAAATATTTTTAAAACTTATGCATTTGTCAGCATAGGTAGATAATTGGCTTGGATATCACATTGGCTTCTATTTCCCTTTACCATCTATGGACAGTCTGCTGCATCATCAGCTGATGCTGTGAGCACCAGGGTAAGATATTTGTCAGGAAGTTATTTTGGGACATATTCTTCTGTGCCTTCCTCAAAGCATTGCAACCACTTGGATGTTGTTGTTGTTTTCTTTCTTCCTTTTTTTTCTTTCCACCCCACTTTCTGGGCTTTGTGACTTTAAAAACTGTCAAGGGCAGATGTAGTTCACAGCCTGTGTTCTAAAAGATTTCCACTGGTCAGACTGCTTTTTCCCCTCCACAGCAGCCTGGCTGACAACCTCCCCACTCATGAGGTTGCATCTTTATAGGATTTGCTGAACCTGCAATTGCACTTTGGGTCATCGATCGCTGCTTTAGCAATAGCAAAGGCTACAACCTTGGCTTTCATTATTTCCAGGATACATTCCCCTTTTTAAAAGGTTATGCACCTTTAAAATATTTTTAAAGATGTAGGGAGATAGCTTTGAATTTGACAAGCCAACCCAGGAGAACCCGAAAAAAAAAAAAAAAAAACCCAAATCCAAGATAATTGGATATTTGGTTTCAAATACATTTCTGCTAAGGACCCTTTTTCGGTTACGAATAAAATTATGCGTATTTGTGCCGTATTCTTAAATTTTAATAACACATTTTGTAACACCTTCCCACTCCCGGTCCCTTAGAATCACATCCAGGATGTTATCTCCTTGCTTTTCTATCTTCATGAGTTCAGCTTTTTCTTCTCCAAAATACGTTTTCTCTATCTTAGAGCTTATTTAGAGGAAGAGACAACCTTAAGACTTAAGGTGGACAAGAATAGCAACAAGGCAAGAATATGAAGCAGGGTCTGTGACTGCACGGCAATGTGATTAGAATGAATAGTAGTTTTTTCTTCTGTATAACATCTTTTTCCACCTACTAAAAGCGGGACCATGAGGCTGTCTGTGTCTCACAGTGAGGCGATATTACGACGTATTCAGAGAAATTCATAAAGCACCTTGCAGAGTGGGCCTTCTCTACCCTGCGGTTTTCACTTCAGATTCTAAGGGGGAATGCATCACACAAAAGATATCAGCCTCCGGGAATTTATGGGAAAGATCGTTTCCAGCTACTGGAAGCATAAAGAAATATCTATTATAAAAATACATAATCCATCCAGTCGAAAACATTCACATAAAGAGCCGTGAAAAAATTCTACCCCGCAGCGTCCCCGCCAACGCCTAGGACCGCAGTGGTGGGCGTGGCTTGATGATTGACCACGCCTCTTGCGTCCCGTCCCCTAGAGGCGCGCCCCACCCCAGCCGCTTGAGGCTTGGCGCGAGGTCGGTTTTACCTCTCCTTCCTTTTGGAGCGCGGAGGGACAGTTCTTGCGCCTGCGCACTGCTCCGCTGCGCGCCTCCGCAGCTGCCTCGCGCCTCCGCAGCTGCCTCTCGCCCCCGCCGCGCGTTCTAGAGTTCTTTGTGCGCATGCGTGCTCGCTCTCCCTCTCGTCGCGCTCGGCTGTGTCAGTCAGTCAGTCTGTCGGAGTCTGTCCTCGGAACAGGCTGAGCGAAGGGACTTCGGAGAGCCTGCTGCCTACTTATTCTATTTCCCCTCCCTCTCTCCCGCCCCACGTCTCTCTTCACCCCTCTCCCGCCCTTGCTCGCGTAGCCATGGCGGAGTCGTCGGCGGCCACTCAGTCCCCGTCCATCTCCTCGTCGTCCTCCGGGGCCGATCCGTCCGCGGCCGGCGGTGGCGGGAGCCCGGGAACCAGCCCCGCCCTGGGGGCGAAAAGCTGCGGCTCCTCTTGTGCGGGTGAGGCGTGCGGGGAAGCCCCTGCCCTGGGGACGAAAGGGAGCTGGGGCCGGGGGCTTTCGGGAGCGACCGGGGAGGACGAGTTACACTCGGCTGCTGGTGGCTTCAATCCCGGGGGACGAACGTTTGGAAAATGGGCAAAGGGGGAGGGGAGCGAAAGGTCTTTCGGGCGGTGAGGAAATAACGGGGTGTGAGGAAAACAGGTTGGGGGCGGGAAGAAGGTCTGGAGAGTGGGCGTTCACGCCGAGACCCGGCAGGTGGGGAAACAGCCGCCCCGCGAGGTTGGGATGAAACGGACGGTCGCTCAGGTGGGGCTTGGGCCGTGTTGGAGGAGGCCAGAGCCACCCGCTGGACCGGGGTGATTCCGAGGAGTAAGATTAGCGACGTTGAGAGGATTGGGGCAGGTGGGTCTTGGGAGAAATGGTTCGTTATGATTTTGAGGGATGGTGGCGAAAGGGTTGCATTGCAGGTTTGCAGTCAGGTGTTGACATAATCAGACGTGCCTGATAGTCTTCCAAAAAAAATATTTTTGTTTGCCCCTGGGGAGGATGGGGAAGTTTAATGGAAGCGTTGTAGCCCGTTTTCTTTACTGCTTTCGACTGGACTCTACGTAAAGGCCTGGTTTTTCTGAGACTCCAAGGTAGAGGAGGCGTGATGAGAATAGCTCTGGGAAGATTTGGGAGGGAGCTTCTGATGGTCCAAGATGGATCCGTGGCTGCCTCTGCAACACAGCCGGCTCTTCACTGGCGTGGCGTGGGGGTAGGGACGCGCAATCAGTCGTTTATATTCTAGAAAATAATAAATAGAGTCATGCCAAGCCATCAACATGTTTTGATTTCAGATTTTCTCTGGGCTGTTATTGATCGCAGTATGACAAAAGAGGATGTGTACTGCAGAAAGGGGGGAGGGGAGAAAATTCAGACAAAGCAGGGGCTGGTTGAACCCCCTTCTCCTCCCATCTCTGAAGGACTAGAAGGGAAACTGCAGGCCTCCTTTAGTTTCCATTGTATCCGCGTCTGCCTGCTGATGGGAGCTGGCTGGCCTCGTGCAGAGATCTGCAGTGCAGATGTCTTCTTGAAGAATATGCACCACGGGCAGGTGGAGGTTCTTAAAGGAAGAAAAGAGGGGAGGGGCGTTGCCAGAGGAAGAATTTTTGAGAGATTTTAAAATGCTTCATTGTCTCCTTTGGCAGATTCTCAGGTTGGTCCTTTCTGATATTCTCTAGGCGTTTTCCTAACAATGGATTTCCACCTGTTTAAGAGAGAATTGAAGTGCCACAAATTTTCCAGCGAGGTTATGGTCATTTGCATAGAAACAGTATCAGAGGCTTCTGTAGATAAAGGAATGAGCCAGCAGATTTGGAATTCTTGTTCTCTTTAAACCGCCAGCGTTTCTCCTCCAAATTTTTGTGTTCTGGGATAAGGTCCAAATGAACAGCAGTTTCCTTATAACTTAGCAACTTGGTCTTTTGGCATTAATCACTTGTCACTGCTTATGATTTGGTTGGCCTTTTTTTTTTTTAAGAATTTCTTTTTTAGTTGTAGATGGACACAATACCTGTATTTTGTTTATTTATTTTTTTATGTGGTGCTGAGGATCAAACTCAGTGCCTCACACATGCTAGGCAAGAGTTCTACCACTGAGCCTCAACCCCAGCCCCCTTTGGTTGGCCCTTTTGTGGGTACCTTTTGCTTATTCTTGATTTTCAGTTTTTGACTCAGACCTGTGTTTTACGAAATGACCTTTTGTGCTCAAGAGAAAATGGATGTTAAATATTGAGGAGTCATTCTAGTTAGCAGGCAGGCTATTAAAATTGTGTTCCAACATGTAGAGCCACATGGGGAAAGCATTTGAAAGTCAACTTTTTTATTCTTTTAATACACTGTTATGAAAGACCTGGGCCAGTAAAGCAAAAAAATATTTTATTTACAGACACAAACACACCACCACCAAAAAGCAGACCCTGAGGGCTGGGGTTTGGCTCAGTGGTAGAGTGCTTCCCTAGCACTTATGAGGCACTGGATTTCATCTTCAGCACCACATAAAAATAAACAAATAAAGATATTGTGTTCATCTACAACTACACACATATATGTATTCATATATGTGGACTCTAATTTGCAATGCACAATGTATTTTGTTTTATTTTTTTGTTGATTTATTTATTTTGCCATATTGGGGATTGAACTCAGGGACGCTCTGCTACTGAGCTACCTCCCCAGCCCTATTTTAATTTTTATTTTGAGATAGAGTCCCATTCAGTTACTCAGACTGGCCTAGAACTTGCAATCCTTCTGCCTTAGCCACCCAAATAGCTGGGATTATAGGCATGCATCACCACACCAGGCTGGCAATACAAATTTAATGATATAACATAGAATAGTTCTGGTTAGTTTAGATTTCTGATGTTATTTACCCTAGTCACAATTTTTATTGAGTATTGACTTTATCTTATTTGGGGGGCTGGGTAACCAGGGATTAAACTCAGGAGCATTCAACCACTGAAGCACATCCCCAGCCCAATTTTTGTATCTTGTTAGAGACAGGGTCTCACTGAGTTACTTAGTGCCTTGCCGTTGCTGAGGCTAGCTTTGAACTCTCAATCCTCCTGTCTCAGCCTCCCCGAGCTGCTGGGATTACAGGTGTGTGCCACCGTACCCAGCCTACCTTATTTTTTATTCCCTTCTTTATAACAGTAGAGAAGATAGTGAAATCAGGCATTTTGCTGAAAATAGTGGAATTTATATTCTGAAGTGGCATTCTAAGTTCATGGGTTTGTATTACATTTTCCTAATAGTATTAAATGCCTCAGTACTCACTAATTATTTCCCCTTTTTTTAAAATTTATTTTTTAGTTGTAGTTGGACACAATACCTTTATCTTATTTATTTTTATGTGGTGCTGAGGATCAAACCCAGGCCTCACAAGTGCTAGGCGGGTGCTATACTATTGAGCCACACAACCCCAGCCCATCATCAGGTTTTTTTTTTGTTGTTGTTGTTGTTTTAATATTTATTCTTAAGTTTTAGGTGGACACAATATCTTTATTTTACATTTATGTGGTGCTGAGGATCGAACTCAGCGCCTCGTGCATGCTAGGCTAGCACTCTACCACTGAGCCACAACCACAGCCCCACCAGTTGTTTCTTAAAAAAACTTTATTACAGAATTTGTATATCTTAGATCTGCTGTAGACATTTTGTCACTAATGTAGTAGTACTTGATCAGTTTTTGTTCAATAAATCATCAAACTTATGAGCTGGAAAGGAAAACCTGAAAAATAAGAAGATAATCTTAAACAAATATATTAATATTATCTATAAAGCATTAGAACAATTTTGGTGTGCTCAATGCAAGATCTTCATTTGTCAGGTCACTACTTCAATATAAAAGTTTACATAAGTTATCACTTAATTGCAAAAACCCTTCTTCCTTATCCAAAGTTATCTCCATCTCACAGAGGAAATATCTCAGACTTGCCATAATGAAAATAAGATAAAGTTTGCTTTTAAAATAATCTACCTTGGGGCTGGGGATGTGGCTCAAGCGGTACCGTGCTCGCCTGGCATGCATGCATCCCGGGTTCGATCCTCAGCACCACATACAAAGATGTTGTGTCCGCCGAGAACTAAAAAATAAATATTAAAAAAAAAAAAAATCTACCTTGGTGGTTTAAAAAAAATCTATAAGCATGGCTGTCAGTTTCTTCTTCTTTTTTTTTGTTGTTGTTGTTGCTATTCTTTGTTTTGGTACTGGAGATTGAACCCAGGGCTTTGCACACACTAGGTTAAGCGTTCCACCCCTGAGTTATATCCTCAGCCCTGCTTCATGTTCTTTTATTAAGCTTCTTTTGGTTTGAGTAAAAGGTGGTAAGTGATCACTTGGTGTCCTGCAGAAAACAATTTTATCTTAACTGATCTTCCAATAATGTATTTTAGAAGTACTTGTTTCTACGTATATTTGGAAAATGATTGATGGCATTTTCTGGTATGGTACCTTGCACCCACCAGTGTAGTACGCTTAGAGAAGGAGATCGGGGCCAGGATGCCCCTGATTGCTGCCTTTAAAGAAACCAAAGACTTCAAAGGCAGAAATTTGAGGTTCAGATAAGAGAGACTGAAATATTTAGTGTTTTCTTTTTAGAAAGAGGGTTGCCCTTATTAGACATCAAGTCTAGATACATGTCTATTATCTGAATTTTTTTTTAAGTGTCTATTGTTTATCTAACATGGAAATTATAGTTATTTTCTTTTGTGGATCAAACCAAGAGCCTCATGAATGCTAGGCAAGTGCTCTATCACTGAGCTACTACATTCCTAGCAACATTGATGCCAAAATAAAGCTACATTTCATTTATCTGCTTGTGGAAATTACCTCAAAGTAAATTGGGCAATTAAAAAATGGGGGGGGGGGGTTTCTTTAAACAGTTTTTTCCTCTTCAAACACATTCTGTGTTTTTTATGGCATCATTTTTACACTTTGTAGTTTGTATTTTCAGTCTTAACACTTAAATTAAAAGGAGTCTGATCTGTCCAACATGGGCATCATCTGTGTTTTGTACTCGTGTCAGACTATCAGTGGCAGTATTTTATGGTGACAATCATATGAGCTCCAGGGACACCAATATTTCAAACCCCCTTGTTTCTTTATTGTGTGACCTTGTGCAAATCCTGAGCTTCTGTTTCCTTAATTTTAAAATGACAGTAATAGTATCTAATGAGGATAATAGTTGTTATGAAAATTAAACACATGTAAAGGACTTTTGACCATACAAATGCTTAGTAAATAACTAGCATTAGCCAGGTGTGGTGGTACAGGCCTGTAATCCCAGCTACTTGGGAAGTTGAGGCAGGAAGATTGCAAGTTCCAGGCCAGTCTCAGTTACTTATGATACCAAAATAAAAAATAAAAAGACTAGAGGTATAGCTCAGTGGTAGAGCACTCCTGGGTTTAATTCCCAGTAGCAAATGATGATAATGATGTTAATATAAAGGAATAAA